AGACTAAAATCCCCAATTCGGTCCTATCGTTTGGGTGCTGAAGTGTAGATGTTAGCCCTCAAGCGAGGGGAACGTGAGAGCTCCGAAGTGAGAGTCGGCATCCTCCCAGCCTAGCCACAGATTCAATAAACAAGCGTATGATTAGTCAATGTTCTTTATGCCTGGACTAAAGAGTAAAGAATATGTATGCTCCTATTTGACACAATATAATTTGAACTAATTCACTTTATCCATTCACTATAATTTCTTGACAAGAAGAATGATGATTTCTTATATATTGAATATCACATTTAAACCTTTATTAGTATCATTCGTTATTTAATAGTTATTAAAATTACATATTTATTGCAATTGTCTATTAGTGATATATAAGCAAATTGAACTTCGTTGTTGTGATTAAAGTATTGTTTTTTCTAAAATCTTAGTTCGTAGATCTAATCCTACTCCCTGTGGGATCGATATATAGGACTCCATTAGAGTCTTATATTACTTGAGCAATACGTATACTTGCGTTGATAAGCGTGACTTACAATTATTGAATATTTATTACGTTCATATTTATCTTATATTTTTAAGCATATGTAAAGTCGCGGTCAGAACTCTCCTCCCGTTTCTGCCTCTCTCATTCGCAAAATAGAAGCTCAGTCTCCGTTGCTTGTGAAACCAGAAGGCTTCCCTCCCGACAATCCGTCTCTCGCGAAACAGGAACTCCTCTTCCGTCTCTGCCCACGCCTTCTTCAGTTGGTGAAAGATTCTTCTTGTGCTTGGCAGAAGGAAGAAGAAGAAGGTGCTCTTCTTGATTCCTTCTTGTTGGCTTGCGACAGAAGAGAAATATGTTTTTCTCTTGTATGCTTTGCTTGTTCAATGTATCTCGGTTTAGAGAGGAAGAGTGAAGAAGTGAGAGAAAATGTTCGCTCTTATAATTGGAAACGATCTACTGGTGTAAATTCCTCAATTAGTAAAATCCTCTGCAACTCCGTGGATGTAGGCAATTTGTCGAACCACGTAAATCTGTATGTTCCGCTGTGTTGTTTTCTAGTGTGAATTTTATCGTTCTATTTAAATATACCACAACAAAAGATGATCTCTATTTATGTTTTCTAATCATATCAATAAAATAATAATATTAATGTTAATCTAACTTAAAAACTTTAGTTCAATGATCATCCCAGTATATATATTCATACAGCCGATATGCCGATTATCCTATTATATATATATATATATATATATATATATATATTAATGGCGCCATCTCTCCATATGCCAACAAGTCGTATCATATGGACAAATTCATAAAACTTAATATTTTTATTAAAAAATAAAAAAATTTCAGGCCTGCCATTATTATGAGGCGGTTCTAAAGTGATTGTTCCAATGGTACACTTCATGCCGCGGAATCAACCAGTTTGTTGACCCAACATGGGAGGGGCTAAGGCAATAAAGGACAAAATGTTATTTTAAGATGTACAAAACTGATATTTTAGGAGAATCGAGTGACCAAATTACTCTTTCATATAAGTAAAAATATGAATTTGAAAGAGGGGTAATTGTCTCCTGAGGACCCTTTCTGGGTCCGCCTCCTGCTACATGGTGGTGTGGCATGTAGAGTGATGAGTTCGTTGATTATGAATAAGATAATTATTTTAATAAAATTGACACATTAATTATCAATCAAAATGTTAATTGAACCTAAACTCTTTTCAACAAACTAATTATTCAGATTTGGCTTTTTAATCCAGCTATATCCAGCTGCATAAAATATTAATTGTGCATTATTTCAAATATCATTGACCATATATATATATATATATGTATAGTTTGGGGCTCATATAACCATTTTTTATATACTCCGGTATTGTACATATAGAGGGGGAATAACCAAATGTCCTATCATATAAAAAGATCTTTTTGTTTATAGGATAGGGAAAGTAATGAAGAAAAAAAAATACTTTTTAACCTTGTTAAAAGGAGAGTGTATGGGTTATTTTAGAAATTATACTTCTATGAAGCTAGGGTCTTGTTGTCCTTTGGCTCGATCGGTTGGGACTGAAGAGGTGAAATGATTAGTGTTGTCAGCCATCCTGCTAAATAGGGACCATTGATTAGTCGATTTTTCTGGTAAGGGGGCTCGGCTAGACTGTTGAAGATTGTCGGCGAGACTAATCTGGTCGGTTGATGTTAGCTAGTTGGATGCATTAGGTCGGCCGTTAATATTCAATTATAGCGGGAGAAGTTCCTACCGGCTGAGCTAACTTAAGCCTTCGAAGGAGTTGGGTGTGTATCATTGTGTCGGTTCAGAAGATTTGTGGATGGCATCGGTTGATGTTAGCTAGTTGGATGCATTAGGTCGGTCGTTAATTTTCAATTATAGCGGGAGAAGTTCCTACCAGCTGAGCTAACTTAAGCCTTCAAAGGAGTTAGGTGTGTATCATTGAGTCGGTTCAGAAGATTTGTGGATGGCGTCACCCGATCGATTTTTCTAGTTTGTCGAATCGCATTATAGTGGGTCTAGCTTTACCGTGTCATTCTTTCTTGGGCTATTTGATTTTCTTGAGATTCGTACTGACACATTTTCTTATGTACATATTTAATTCTCTGATTTTCTTGCTTCATGAAAGTTACGTTGCGATAAAAATAAGAAAAGTTAATGCAAAAAAGTGAACAATATTTATGATCACTTAATATTGTAATAATTGAACTCCCTTTGAATTCCAAGCAACGAATCCTATATATTTGGAGTGAGGGTTGCACTTTTCCAATCTTGTGTGGTTCAATTCTTTTTCATTTTGAAATTTACTTGGGTCACTTTATGTCCCTTAGAGAGTTGCTAACTGAAGAGGCTTCCTCATCAAGTATCAGAACTTCTGGTGTTCACTAGAAAAGCTCTCCCAAGACACCAAATTTATTTCGGCTGAATGGGAAGGAAGAAGAGGAATTTGTGATCAAAATGAAGGAATTAGGCAAGCTACTTGGCATTCCTTTCATCGATTCTGGGTCGAGAGGTGAGGCCAGTTGGTTATCATCTATTTCCTTATCATATTCTGGCATTGAGGCCAATGACGAGGAGGAATCTAACCTCCTAGATGAAGCGACTCCCCATCAATAGGGAAAAGCTTCTGCCAAGGATGTCTCCCCATCACCTCCTCCTTAGCTAAAATGTATGGGTTCTCCTTTGAGGGGGATTCCTTCATGGAGGAGGACACCAATGTTTGGTAGCTTTGTCTAGCACCACACCATGTTAGATACTAAGAGAAATTGATATACGGAGATGCCCGCAGTGATGAAATAACCATATCTTCTAGTGAAGGTGGTTTGATCTGCGAAGGGCTACTACAGTGGCTGGGCAGAGTAGACTTTGGTCAACTTCGCTATTGATGCTACCTGATGGCGTGGTCGGCCACAAACCACTAAGTGAAATCCTTCTGATGGATGGAGGAGAAGTCGGTGGCTGTTGAGCGAAGGATGACGGTCGCCTAGAAGCGTAACTAGAAAAAAGGGTCATCTAGACAAAGAAGAGGTTGAGGTTATCTAGTGAAAGTAGAGAGAAAGAGAAGAAGGAACATGGGGAGATTGTCATGTTCTTGGAGGAGGAAAACAAGAAGCTGAAGGCGGCGAGGGCCAGGATGGTGATTGCCAAGGAGCAAGTTAAGAGGCTTTCCCAATAAATCCAGGCAGGCATGCCCTTAGCTACCAACAACTTTGTTAAAGAGGGCTTGGTCAACCCCATGGTGTCTAATATGAGGCATCTTGTCACCCTTCTCTCTGACCAAGAGGATGAAAACAATAAATCTAGAGGAGCGGCTAGAGGAGGTAGCAACGATGGTGGATTAACAGCTTCTTAGACCTCTTTTTTAATATGCATGCACATAGGAAGAAATTTTGTTTTGCTCGACTGCAGCTGATTGAATTGTATATTAAAAAAAACCTTGTATATAACGTTTTTTACAGTGGAAACCTTTTGTAGTTTTTATGCATGTGTTGATTTACCTTTGTCATATTTTACTTTATTGCTCGATTGTTTGTGTTGTTATCCATGGTAAAATAATCGTTTTTGAGATTTTTTCTGTTGTTCTTCATTTGTATTAACCTGGTTACTCAAGTCTTAAACTACGTGTGGCTTGTTTATTTGATTTGATTGTCGTCCGAGTCGAACTGCACCTTTCTCCAGGACTTCAGCGGATCTTATCATTGCCTTTGTCTCGGTAATCACCGAGACTTGCTATTGGGTGATTTGGGTTGTAACCTTCATGGAGCTTGACGCTATTAAGGAGGAAACTACCTCCAAAGCTTTATTCGTGTCAAGTTTTGGTACATGAGATTTTTTATGCTTGGTGTTGTCAATTTTCATGCAAATTGTCGGTCAGACGTTAGTCATCGCTATTGGTCAAGCTTTAAGGTTATGCCGCTCGGGTTTCTTGTGTTGTTGTCGGATTTTAGAAAAAAATTATACTGATCAGACATCTTGTTTTGTTGTCAATTTTTGTTATTGATGCTTAACTCACATCATACACTTTCTAGGTCTCGATTGCTTGGTCAGATTTTCTCTGTCAGGATTACCCTTTGTGTTAGGCTTATTAAGCTGATCTTATCATTACTTTCACTGGTGTAATCACCAAAGCTTGCTTCTGAGGTGATTTTCTTGCTACGTTTCATGTAGCTTGTCTTTACTAGGCAGGGAACCACTTTCATAGCATTATTCAGTTCAAGTTTGGTAATCCAAGTTCAAGATGCGGGAGCTTCGGGGGTTGCATTATGTATTTTTCCAACCGGATGTCTTTGGCATTGCTTGCGGTTGGCCTTGCTACACAAATTTGAGTTCCCTGAGTGTTCACTATCCGCCGAAGCATATAAACTCCTTGAGTTCCCAAAGTCTTACTTTGACCCCTGGAACACATTAGAAAAGTATGTAATTTCTAACAGAGATAGAATATGATGTTTGAATTGATAACGTCTTTTAGTTTCCAAGCTAGGCGTTGGCTTATGTATTAGATTTGATTTTGTTATTGACATTGTATGGTGGGGGTTGTTCCTTGACTTAGGTTCCCTTAATCGGCCCTCAACAAGTTGGTTCACATAGTATTCTTTGCGTCAGGTTTTATGTTTGGATCAATGCCAGTCGAGCGGTGTAAGTCAAAAGTTGTTGATACTTAGGTTCCCTTAATCGGCCCTCAACAAGTTGGTGCACATAGTATTCTTCGCGTCAGGGTTTATGTTTGAAGCAACGCCAGCCTAGCGGTGTAAGTCGAAGTTGTCGAGGTTGATGTGCCATTGACCAGCTTCTGGTAGGGGATTTCTTCGACCATGAGGAGTTAGCTATAAGTTTCGGGGTTGCTTCTAGCCTCTGAGCTAAGGCCTTTTAGAAGATGATAAAAGTTTGATTTTTCAACTACTAGATCTATTGCTCTGTAAACTCATTGACGTACTCAATGCTATGAGTGCCTCTGTGGTGGGTTTCTCCTACTTGGTGTTGCTCTTCTTCGTGTTAGTAGTATACTCCATGCTCACAACACTTTTAAGGAAGTTGAATTTGAATTTGTCCAGGATGCACAACCAAGCGATTAGAGCGTTTGAAGAAGAGAAAAAGAAAAGAAAGAGATAGAGAAAGGGAGAGCAAAAGAAAGGTGTGTGTAGCAACTTGCCCCTCTGGTGCAAAATAGAGTATTCACGAGCTCTTGTGACCTTTCTTATATAGTTGATACAGGAAGGGGGAATAACCAAAATTGTTATTTCATGAAAAGACTTCTCTATTTATAGGAGTGGGACATAAATGAGGGAAAATTACAT